TTTTGATTCCTGCTCAACGCACCCCATGCGTAGCTACCACCTACCTGTCAGTGGAACCTTGCTTGTTGCTGTGATGCTGACTAGGTTTCAGTCTGTCTTCCAAACTAACAAAGACTAGGAAGAAAAGCTTGGAGATCTGCTCCTGAAAATTGTCCAGCTGACCCTATGAATCACAACAGTCTGCTCTGATCCGGATCACGGGGATGGTGCAGGACTGGGCGCCGTTCCGCGTTGTTCATGTGGTTGGTATGAGTCGGTGATCGGCTTGAAGGCAGCTAGCAGCAGTAAGTCTAGCTTTAACCCAGAGTTCAGACCCATTACCAGGTGTAACCCAGACCCAAGCACATGCTTGCTCTTCAGGAGTGTTGTGGTCCACGAGGGACTGGAGCTTTCACCTCTCATCCCTCCACGCACAGAGTCTGCAGGGGTCTCAGGAGGGGGGCTCCAGGAAGGCTGGGCTTCAAGGGTCCCCCCACCCCCCGTCCTGGAAAATCTCTTTTCTGCTTGACCCTTCTTGGCAAATGAGCAGCTGCACAAATCTACTCTGGAGTCACCATTTAAACTGCATGTGAACACAAGTGCTGCTAGACGGAAAGGCCCACCAAGCAGGGACTGGGGCAATCATCATTCCTTACTTTGTTTGGCAACCACTTACTGAGTGCCTACCCTGCGCCGGGCCAAGTGCCGAGACCTGAGGGTCCAGTCATGACCGAGATGGGTAAGGCCCCACTCCTAGGGTCCTCCTTTAAGTGTCTCCTACCCCACTGTGCTCAGAGTCGAGCCCAGTGTCACACTGTGCAGCTGCTCAGCCCATATCTGAGCAGTGTTGAACGGAGATGAATTGAACCTCCTCTCACCTCCTGCTATGTGGATGTAGACCAAGGCTTCTCAGCTCCAGCACTGTTGACCTTTAGAACCAGATTAATTCTTTATCGGGCAGAGGAGCTGTTTGTATTGTAGGATGCTTAGCAACATCCCTGATCTCTGCCCACTAGCCAAGTAGCACCTCTTCTCCCCAATTGAGACAACAAAATGTCTCCAGACTTTGCCAAATGTCCCCTGGGGGCAATATCACCCCCAGACCAGAACCACTGACGCAGACTCATCACAGGCAATGGGTTTAACTGCATGACTCCAGGCTCGCTCAGAGGCACCAGCCAGGTAGCACAGTCTTGTAAGCATTTCGGAGGCCACACTAGAGAATATAACTAAAAAAAAAAAAAAGTTTTATTGAGATGCAATTTACGTACCGTAAAATTCACCCTTAAATTTTAAAGTGCGCAAGTCAGTGATTTTTATTAAAACATATTTAGAGTCATACAACCATCACGACTATCTAATTTTAGAACATTTTCATCTCTCCCCCAAAAAACACCATACCCATTTAGCAGTCACTCCCTATTCCGTTGTCTTTCCAGCCACTGGTGAAAACAAATCTACTTTCTGTCTCTAAGGATTTGCCTGTTCTAGATATCCCATATAAATGGCATCAGACACTATGTGGCTTTTTGTATCTGGCTTCTTTGATGTAGCATGGTGTTTTTAAGGTTCATCTGTGTTCTAACATGTGCCAACACCTCATTCCTTTTATGGCTGACTATTCCATTGTATAGGATATATCACATTTTGTTTGTCCATTCATTAATTAATGGACTTTTTTTACCCTTTTTGGCTATTATGAATAATGATCTATAAACATTCATGCATACATTTTTGTGTGGATATATTTTCAATTGTCTTGGGTATATACACAGGAGTGGAATTGCTAGGTCCTATGGCTTAACATTTTGAGGAACTGCCAGATTGTTTTCCAAAGGAGACGCACCATTTTACTCCCACCGGCAGTGTATGAGGGTTCTAGATTCTGTACATTCTCGCCAACACTTGTTGTTGTTTGTCTTTCTTATTATAGCCATCCTAGTGGGTGCGAAAGGAATCCTGGTGGTACAGTGGTTAAGCACTCGGCTGCTAACTGAAAGGTCTGTGTTTCAAACCCACCAGCCTCTCTGGGAGAAAGATGTGGCAGTCTGCTTCCATGAAGATTTACAGCCTTGGAAATGCTGTGGGACAGTTCTACTCTGTCCTAAAGGGTTGCAATGAGTTGGAACTGACTCGACAGCAGCAGGCTTTTTGAGTGGATGTGAAGTGATATTTTGTTGTGGTTTTGATTTGCATGTCCCTGATGAGTAATGATGTTGAGCTACTTTTTATATGCTTGCTGGCTATTTGTATATTTTCTCTAGAGAAAGAGCTTTTCAAATCCTTTGCCCTGTTTTAAATCGGGCTTTTTTTTAATGAGTTTTTCATACTCTTTGTACAGTCTGGATATAAGTCCCTTATCAGATATAGAATCATACTGTTCAGAATTGACAATTCAGTTCTGTAGTTTCACTTTCTCGATGTTGTCCCATGAAGCACAAAAATTTTTATTTGATGAGGTCTGAGTTCTCTATTTTTCTTTTGTTGCTTATGCTTTTGGTGTTATATCTAAGAAACCATTGCCAAATCCAATGTCACCAAGATTTACTCCTATGTCTTCTTCTAAGAGCTTTGTAATTTTGACTCTTATATTAAGGTTTTTGATCTCTTTGGGGTTAATTTTTACACACAGTCTGAGATAAGGATCCACTTTCATTTCTTTTGCATGTGGCTACCCAGTTGTCCCAGCACCGTATGTTGAAAAGGCCATTCATTCCCTGCTGAATTGTCTTGGCATCCTTGTTGAAAATGAATTGATCATAAATGTAAGGGTTTATTTCTGGCTTCTCCATTTTATTCCATAGCTCATTGTTTTTCTTACCACAGGAAGATATAGGAAAGTATCTTTGATAACCAGAGTGGTGACAGAATCAAGGAAACTTGCATGAATGTGTGGTAGAAATATACATATAAAATAATCAAAGTTTAGAATTCGAAGGAATCTTAGAGGTCACTTCAGTTTAAAACTTTTGTTTTGCTGATGGGGAAAAACACAAGATTAAATGTCCATTTCAAAGGTAAACAAACTTGCCCAAAGCTTTAAAGGCCAGTTAGTGGCAGAGTTGGGATTAGAACCCAGATCCTTTGACTTTGTAGGGAGCTCAGGCGTCTGGCCTGGCCCGCAAGTCTGCCCTGGTTTCCTTACTGATCCAGTGAGAGTCTGTGTTCTCCCTGAGCTGCGTGGTCCCCAGAAGTGAATGGGGACGTGATGCGTGCCTGCACCTCCGTTTACAGGGCTGAGAAAGAAAGCAGCCAGGGAGAGTAAAGCATTTGGAAAATCTGAAATTGCTGTATAAATGCCACTAAACGATAAGCTTGCCAGCCTGAGGCTCTTCTCTTAGGAAGGTTCAGTATGTCAGAGGCAGCATAATGGAAGGAAACGATTCACTCAGACACGTTTTTAAACTGCTGTGGTTGTCACTTTCCAAGGAGGCAGAGTGCAGAGAGCTTGACTCCGGTGCTTCTTGGGGCTGGGCTGAGTGCACTGTGGATCTCAGGTGGGCCAGGGTGGCTCGGAGAGGCCTGGGGGCATGGATCCTCACCCATCCCTCAGGAACACCCCTTGAGCAGATGGGAGAGTCCTTGTCCTGCTCCTGCCAAAGAGGTGCACTTAGAACCTGGTTGACCCATGAGATTCAGAGGGGACCTGGACCTGAAATTATAGCCACCATGTGGTGGCTCCTTGTGGCTTGTCCACGGTTATCTTCGACTCCTTAGAGCATCCCCATGTCTTTGTTTTTCATTGACAGTGGTTATCTGACATGTTACACACACACAGAAGGTGTCCTGTTTGAAACCAGCGGGAAGGGATTTCCTTTAAATTATGAACCCCTGGATGGCAGGAATGAAACATTGGTGGTTCTGTGGTAGAATTCTCACCCTCCGTGTGGGAGACCCAGGTTTGATTCCCGGCCAATACATCTCATGCACAGCCACCACCTGTCTGTCTGTGGAGGCTTACCTGTTGTTATAATGGTAAACAGGTTTCAGCAGAGCTTCCAAACTAAGACAGACTAGGAAGAAAGGCCCGGTGATCTACTTCTGAAAATCAGCCATTGAAAACCCTATGGATCAGAATGTTCATATCCCAAACAGATCATGGGTATGGGACAGGACTGGGCAGCATTTTGTTCTGTTATGGGGGTCACCATGAGTTGGCAGCCGACTTGATGGCAGCTAACAATAGATGGCAAGAACTTTGTCCTATTTACCTCTGTACCTGCAGTGACTGATGCATACAGAGTACTCAATAAATGTAAATTTTGTTGTTGGAGCTAGGTGTTGAGTGAAAAAATGCTTTTCTCTGAGTAACTGGGTTTCTTATAGAGGGGTGGGCCTTTGCCGCTACAGGTGATTCTCTGTGTGTCTCTCTTCCTGTCTATGTATTTTTTTCTCTGTGTTAGTAATTGTTTCCTCCTCTAACCCAGTTGCATGCACTGTCTGCATTATGTATGTGTTCATATATTTATCATTTTATCCATACATCCTGCCTTTATGGCCACATCACACCTTTCTTTAATGGCAAAAGCTATGTATTGTACTTATTTGTATCACCAGTATCTTGTCCATGCTACTCGGTGTATGTTTTTGATGGGGATGCTGGGGGTCCTGATATTAGTAAGCGGCTGCTGAACTTGAGGCCACCTGTGTCAGCCCTTCCCCGAGTGACATTCCACTGGCCAGCTACAGTAGAGCCCTGCCTGGCGTGGGTATGTATTTGGGGAGTCAGTATTTTAAAAGAGCTCAGAGCTTGTTGATGTGAACTGAATTAAAGAGAGGAAAGAAACCATAATTGTGGCCTCTTAGTGCCCATACCCCCGGGCATGACAGCCTCTTCCTTGCGTTCCCCTCCTCCACCCAGACAGCACCAGATGAAGCTGTGACTGTTGAGAACTGAGTGCTGTACCTCTGTCTTCTCCCTTTGCTCAGTAAATCGAAGGGCCTCTGAAAGTGAGCCGCTCCCTTTGTGGCTGTGCACTCCTGCTCAGTGAATCTCATTGTGTGCTTTCCTCCTTGTTTAGGGCACTGGCTGACATCTTACGGCAACAGGGACCAATCCCCATAGCACACTGTGAAAGAGAAACAATCTCGGCTATCGATACCTCTCCCAAAGAGAACACGCCGGTCAGATCGTCCTCCAAAAACCACTACACCCCTGTGCGCACGGCCAAGCAGACTCCAGGTAAGTGAGAGCTGATCACCTTGCATCTTTTCTGAGGCTGGTGAGCGATTTCAGTGATATTTCTCCTCCGGTGGGACAGGCCATGGAGCACTGTGCAGTGAAAGACTTCCTGATTACAGACAGATTTGTGATGGGTCTGGGGGCTGTCCCCTAGGAAGGGTTCCCAATGGGGAAGATTGTAGCCAGAGTCTGGACTGGGCAAGGGCTGATGATTTAGGGCATCTGTGATTTAGTGTGTGGTTGGTGTAATGCTCTTACCTAAAAGGGAGCTTACAGCAGCCACGACAGAGTGAAGTTATTACTGTTCCACCATGTAGTGGAAAGGTTCAGATCGCCTAACCAGTAACTAGTTGCCATCAAGTCGATTCTGACTCATGGCAACCCCATGTGTGCCATGATTGCTAGATATGTTAAAAACAAAAAACAAAAAAAACAACAACAACAAAAAAAAAAACTGCTGCTCAACTACTGAAATATCAGGGAGCACTTCCTGGGGGTAGGAATTATGTCTGTATTTTAGGATGACCCTTCCTGTGTTCTGTCGATTCCTTGAATATGTGATGAGTTGACTTAAAATAACAGTATAGCTTCTGTTTGTTTCCTTGATCATCATATAATCTTATGAAGTAATCTGGTCAGCGCTTCTTTTCCTTGTCTTACAGATCAATAAATGAATCTCAAGGAAATTAAGTAACTTGAACAAGGTCACTAAGATGTTAATAATAATAAAAATGTTAGTAATAATAGTAATATAACCCAACATTTATCAGGTTCTTGCTCTGTGCCAAGCATTTTGCTGAGCATGTTATATGTTTTCTTATTTATTCTTCACAGAGATCTTAAATGTACTTATATTATTGCATTTTATATGAGGGTAAAGTAACTTTCCCAAGGTCGCAGTTAGTAAGAGACAGAGCAAGTATTCAAAGGAGGCTGATAGTTATTAACAGTCAGGACTGGAAAACTGTAATATGGTAACCCAGTTGAGGACATGAATCCAAAGTATCTGAGTGGACAGTCTTATTACAAGTGCAGCTTGGAAAGTCATTTCTTATTGTGAATGTTACCGGGCAGCCTAGTACTGACCCCAGCCTCAGACACAGCTTCTGTTTGGATGTTTGGATCTGAAATTTTCACATCTGTCACTCCACAATTTTTCAAAAGGACAGGCTATACGATCAGAACTAATCCTGCAATACAGATATACAACCACTAGGTGTCAGTAGGTGCGTTTAAAATTCAAGACCAGTTTATTTTCCTTTCTTTCTTTAATTTTCTTAAATGTATTAAGTCAGAAGCCACATATTTGCCTTTAAGGTTATAGTCTTAAATCTTTTAAGAAGGGACCTCCTTCCTCAAAAATGTTGTTTGTCATTGTGTGCTACTGAGTCAATTTTGACTCGTTGTTATTAGGTGCCGTTGAGTCAGTTCCAGCTCAGCAACCCTATGTACAACAGAATGAAACACTGCCCAGTCCCATGCCATCCTCATAATCTTTATTATGCTTGAGCCCATTGTTGCAGCCACTGTGTTAGTCCATCTCATTGAGGGTCTTTCTCGTGGACTCTCTACTTTATCAAGCATGATGTCCTTCTCCAGGGACTGGTCCCTCCTGATAGTATGTGCAAAGTATGTGATTCGAAGTCGCACCATCCTTGCTTCTAAGGAGCACTCTGGCTGTACTTCTTCCAAGACAGATATGTTTGTTCTTCTGGCAGTGCATGGTATGTTCAGTACTCTTCACCAACACCATAATGCAAAGGCATCAATTCTTCTTCAGTCTTCCTTATTCATAGTCCACTTTCACATGCATATGAGGCAACTGAAAATATCATGGCTTGGGTCAGGAGCACCTTAATCCTCAAAGCGACATCTTTGCTTTTTAACGTTTTAAAAAGGTCTTTTACAGCAGATTTGCCCAATATGTTGTTTGATTTCTTGACTGCTGCTTCCATTAGTGTTGATTGTGGATCCAAGTAAAATGAAATCCTCAACAACTTCAACCTTTTCTCTGTTTATCATGATGTTGCTTATTGGTCCAGTTGTGAGGATTTTTGTTTTATGTTGAGATGTAATCCATACTGAAGGCTGTAGTCTTTGATCTTCATCAGTAATTGCTTCAAGTCTTCTTCACTTTCTGCAAACAAGGCTGTGTCATCTGCATAACACAGTTGTTAATGAGTCTTCCTCCAATCCTAATGCCCCATTCTTCTTCATATAGTCCAGCTTCTTGGATTATTTTGCTCAGCGTACAGGTTGAATAAGTATGGTGAAAGGACAACCCTGACGCACACCTTTTCTGACTTTAAACCACACAGAATCTCTTTGTTCTGTTTGAACAATTGTCTCTTGGTCTGTGTACAGGTTCCTCATCAGCACGATTAAGTTTTCTGTACTCATATCGACACTTTATGACAGAATAAAACTGCCCCATAGGGTTCCCTAGGCTGTAATCTTTATGGGATGTCTCAGTCATCTGGTGCTGCTCTAACAGGAATACCACAAGTGGGTGGATTTAGCAAAGAGAAGTTTATTCACTAACAGTCCAGTAGGCTACAAGTCCAAAATCAGGGCATCAGCTCCAGGAGAAGGCTTTCTCTCTCTGTCGGCTCTGGAGGAAAGTCCATGTCATCAGTCTTCCTTTGGTCTGGGAGCTTCTCTGCGCAGGAACCTCAGGTCCAAAGGACGCGCTCTGCTCCTGGCATTGCTTTCTTGGTGGTATGAGGTTCCCACATG